GGCAGCCATAAAAGAAAAGTGATGTGAGTGAGGGTCAGACTAGGGCAATTCTAAAAGCAGCCGAGACAGGATGTTAGAATGCTACTTCCTTCAAACAAGTGAGCAGAGAGTGTTCTTGAAGTTAACAACCATGCATAACCATACACAACGTGCTACTGGCAGAACCTGCACCTGTCCTAGTCCTGCCTAAGCCTTAGGAGGGAGCCAGCATCACGCCCATTTCCAAGTGGAACCTGAGTAGACCGTGACTCGCCCAGGATCATGTGCTGTTGAGGGGCAGGGCCGGCATTCAGATCCTGACTCGAGAGCTCCTATTGTCCTCTGCAGCCTTCTCAAATGCAGTTTCTCCTTTGAACCACATACAGAAAATTACTTGAGTAATGACTTTCTCAATTCTCTCAAGAGTGATAGGTACCCCAGATCATTCCAGAGGCCTGGGAGAGAAGCTGACTGCTGTGTACAGTGGATGCCTTAGAGCATTAGGACTCAATGCCCTCGAGAAAACCTAGCCCAAAAAGGCTGCCACGGTTAGAGACAGGTTGTAGGAAGCAGGTCTGCTGGGGGGTCACGTGCTGAGAGGAAATGGTTGCTACAGCACCTTCACAGTCCTGGGAATACCGGGATGAGTCAGCTCTGGGGACATGAGGTACCAGGCTCCAAACATCCTGCCCAGTTACTCTTCTTTCCAGTGGTGCTGCCTCCCCGACCCACCTTTCCGAACTTGTAGTCAAGTGTGAAGCTGGGCTTTGCTGCTCACAAGCCATCAGCACAGGCCAAAGCAGCACCTTCAAAGACGACAAACTCAGAGGGGCCTGTGTACTCACTTGTCTGTGGAGGCTGGGGGTAGGTGACCGGTACTAGTTAATCCAGATGATCTCTGTCTGGTAAAACTCCCATTACCCTTCCTGATAAAGCTTAAGTACTCTCTACTCTAGAAAGGTTTTTACAACTGAATTCACCTCCCTGCCTACAAGGAGAAAGCATTTTGTCCTCTATGTCCCCAGAACCCTGTCTAGCCACTGCCAAGGCCATGACTCTGCTGTCATGGCTGGCATCTACATCTGTATCCTCCAAAAGTCTGAGAGTCTCAGGGTCAGGGAAATCTGCCTGGTCTCAGAGATGGCAAGTGGACCTGCCCAGTCACACAACAGGCTTAGATTTAAACCCAGGTCTGTCTGACTCCAAAACCTGTGCTTTTCTCATTTTAAAATTTGCTATAGGTTGTGTGTGTTCACAGAAGAGAGATAAAGAAAGAGAGAGGGAGATAGAAGGAAAGTGAGAAGCACTCCTGGGGTAATCCCTTGCTGCAATCCCTTCTCCGTTCTTCTCTCAGGATTTTGGGCATGTACATGTGTCTGGCGTGTTTTCCAAGCCACTAGACCTGGGACTCGAACTATACAATCAGCCGTGTGGTATCCAGCCACCCTAACCACTATGCCACCAGCTGGCACAAAAACCTGTGTTCCTTTCAGTGTGTTACCCAGTCTCCTGAAGACGAAGGGACCTTGAGCAGTCTGTGCTAAGCACCTGTCTAACACTAGAAATGCAGGGGAGGAACTATCAGAGTAGACCAGACCATCAGCAAAGGCTTCCAAAAGGAGGCCTTGGAGAACCGAGCATTCAGATGAGAAGAAAGGAAACGGGTAGGCATTTTAGTCCAGGTGGGAATGTTGTAGCAGAGACAGAATGGGGAGGGCTTCAGTAGGAGTGCAGGTTCCATGTTGGGAAGAAATGGGATTACAGCCGCCTTTATACAGGTAATGACGACAACGGAGCATCCACCATGTGCCTGCCAGAGGCTTTCACAGATCACAACCCTAATCCTCAGGCTACCCCTGTGAAGTAAGTGTTATTTTACATCTAAGAAAGCTTATACAGTTAAAGTAACGTGTCCAAGGCACACCACTAGTAGATGGGGGAACTGGGATTCTAACCGGGGTTGACTTGCCTCTAAAGCCTGAGGTGCCCTTTCCGTTACTCCCTGCTGCCTCCTAATGGACCAGAGAGCTTCCCACATTAGCAGCCTCATCCTGCTGCCCAAGTCTCCTTCCAGCTCACATGTGGACTTCTGGGCACAGAGCCAGGGCAGCTGCCCCCTCTAGATCTACCCCTCTAACATCTGGGGACTCTAAATCCCTTTGGACTAAGCAATGTCAAGGAAAAGACTCTGTGGACCTTGTGAGCATGGCTGGTCTTGGATCTCGCAGAGAACCTCCCTGAATTGCTTTGGCAGAGCTGGTGGCGAGGACAGGCTAAGAAAGCCCTTTGGAGGTCAGCCGAGGTCAAAAGACTTTGGAAATGTTACTGGTCACAGCCCCTAGGACAAGAGAATAGGATCCTGCCTCTCGGTTGGCCGGTTACACACACACACACACAAACACACACACACACAGGCAGATCAAGGGAGGGGTGGGGGAAGGGAGGTCAGAAGCTGGCAGGCCTGCAGGCCCCGGGTGGCAGGAACTTGTTCAGGTCTTCGAAGAAGACATAACAGGGTTAATGGTTTTGGCCCTTGAGGCGCGGAGACTAGGGCAGAGGGTATAAATGATGCTGACTAAAAAGGCAGGTGGGAGAAATGTAAAGGTGGGGCTACGGGCATCTGTTCCAAGTCAACAGGCAGGAACCATGGCCCAGAATGGTTCAAAGGGCCAGCCTAGCCTGCGGGGTGGGAGTGAAGGGAGCTTCAAAAGAGGCCTTCACCTCTTTATTTCAAAGGTGTTCGATCGGAGGGCTATGGAGAGGGGCTCTGTAGAGAGTGAATTCTCTATCTGTTTGGAGGATGAGGGGAAGCAAAGAATGTAAGCTACTAGACAATAGCTGGGAGTATTGATTGGTTGTAAGGCATGGCAGAGAATGCTCCAGTTCTTCGCTACAAATGTCTTGCCAGAAGAGCCTTCCAAAGGACAAAGCAAGAAGCATCCCACTTGGGAATCCCTCCAAAGGGCTTTCTTAGCCTGTTTTCTAAGTCTCTGCTTCTAAGCGCAGTGAGTGCTTGCTCTAAAAACACAAGTCATCTCAGACACTGTCGCCACATCCACTAAGTCCTCTCTTCAGTGTACATGCCCTACACCAAGAGACGCTTTGACTGCTCTGGGGTAGCCCCTTGTAGGCTGGGGTATAGGCCTGGTCTGAGTTTTAAGCCAGTGCTTTGGCGATGGCAGGATGGGGTTCCTAGGCAATCTATCCAGCTTATCACATCACTAGGGCTACAAGGTGACCTGGGGATGTTAGACCTGGGGAGGCAAGGGCTCTGGGATGGTAACAACTTTCTCTGAGGATTCGTTTGGAGAAAATGATTGAGTGGTAGATAACGAATGGCAGAAGTTAAAGAGAACATCACAGCTCACTGAAAACATGTTTCAAGGCCGGCCGTGTGGCACAGTGATTAGGTGCTTTGCCTAGGGGAAGATGGATGGATCCCACATGGCCAAACAGGGTTCAATTCATGGTCCCTCTGGCTTCCTAGCAGCTCATACAGGCATGCTCAGGATCTCAACAGGACAGAGAATTGGAGGAACAGGGATTGCAGCCTAACCAGGCCACAGTAGGGGGTGCTTGCTCTTTTTCTTTTTCCCTCTTGTGGATACATGTGCTCTCTGTCATGAATTTACAGAAAAAGTTAAAAAGAAAAAAAAGGGGGGGGGGAAGGGGCAGCCTGTAACACAATGGTTAAAAGCAGCGTGGATTGGGAACCAAATCCCATACAGTTGACTGCAGTTCGAATCCCAGTTCCAGCAGCTTGAAAAACACACTGGGTACATGTGCATGTGTGCCCTAACTGCTGAGAAATGGAAGGAAAGGGATCACAGCATGACCACACACCACTGGCAGGTGCTTTCTTTCTGTTTCTCTGGTGAGGGCACATGTCCTTGGGCAATGTCGAGGAAAAAAAAAAAAGATGCTTCAACCAGTCAGAGCTGAAGTAAAGTGGAAAAGATACCTAGGGAAGAAGTGGGGTCCCTTGGGTCTCTGACAGAAGCTAAGGAAATGCCAGCTGGCTGCTGGAGAGGCTACTGCTGGGAAGGAGGCAGGCATGCATCACTGGGGCCCAGGGCCTGTGAGGACCCTTCCAGCTCTCAGGTTCTATGAAGAATGGCCCTCCCAAGGGGACTCTGGAGTCCAGCCAAGAAAGGTCCTTGGCTTTTAAGAAGTGGCAAGATGGGCATGAATAGGCAGTTATATGCCACACGCTCACTCAGGGGCCTGGGCCCCACGCATGCTGGCGAGACATTTCTCTCTCTATCCTAGGGAAAGGCTGAAGGGGGATAAGGTGAAGTGGGAGGGAAAGTGATTACTTAAGAGGTGTCAGGAACCTAACTTCATACCAGACCTGGACAGGACCAGCCCAGCCTGAGTCCGGGAACAGCCCACACTGTCCTTGAAATGAAACTAGTATTCTTCAAAGGGACAGCCATCATTCAGCAAGGATTTACTGAGTGCTTACCATTTGCCAAGTACTATGCTAGGTGCTAGGGACATAGTTCTTGTCTTCAGAGAACTCGTGGTAAAGTTAGGGACTTCTCCTGAAGTCCTTCCCTTCTACTGAACAAATGACAATGGCTTTAGATTGTGACAAGTGCAATGTCAGAAAAGGATAGTGGGCCATGACCCAGATGAAATGGGGCCTAACTGAGATTGGGGAAGGAATGTTATCAAAGAAGCCCTGGGTTAGAAAGGATTTGAAGAGCCTCTCCATTTTCTGCTAGCCCTGTTCTGGACGTCACAGAGAAGAGAGGGTGCTTTTGGGGAGAGTGCTAATCAAGAACACTCTCCCAGCAGGTGCAGACAGGAAGGCACAAGGCATCACACAGGTAGGCAAAGAGCACACAGTAGCCATAGGAGGTCCAGTCGCATCCGCACACTGCCACTCTCAGAAAGCACAGCTACCTGAGGCAGATCTAGCTCTGGAGGGGAATGGGCTCTTGGCAAGTGTGGCATTTCAAGGATGGAAAGACTGCCAACACTCTGTCCCCTGCCACCCCTGCCCATCATGCTCTCACCTCCATCAAGCAGCTCCTTGACGGTGCGGTAGTCATCAGCAAGGACAGCATAGTGCAGGGCAGTGCAGCCCTTGAAGCTTGCACGGTTGTTCAGCCGGTTGTTGAAGTCATCTTCTCGGGTGACTAGGACTAGGGGACAGCAATACAAACCCAACTGTTAGTAACAGAGGCATGAGCCACCAATCTCACCTGCTTTTTCTTGCCATTTTAGTTTACTCATCCACTTACTCACTTAAAATGGCACTTACTGGGTGCCTGGCCATCTGTACTGGGTAAGAGATGAGACAGTCGAAGGTCAATGCCAAAAAATTTACTGCCATCTATTCTATATTAGCATTCATCGTGGGGACATGATCTGATGAGAAAGGCCAACAGCAGACAGATGCTTGTACTACTGTTTGAGATAAATGCTGCTAGGTAGGAGGTATGTTAGGATGATATAGAAAGACAGAGGGAAACTTAGCTTAACTTGGGCTTGAAGGGAGAATTCCTGAAGATGGGAAACTTGATGGATGAAGAGGAGTTATCCGGGTGAAGAAAGAAGGTGAGGGTAGGACAGGAAACAGAGACTATTTTCAGTGGAAGAGGAACACACTTTTCTGCTTAGAAGATGTTTACAAGCTAGCAAGGGAATAATTTCAGTTTTTAATTTTTTTTATTTGCTAGAGGGTGTGTGTGATCACCAGAGAGAGGAAGAAAGCACTCCCCATGGAGGATGGTCACACGGCAATCCCGTCTCCTCCATTTCTCCCTCCTTTAAGAATTTTGGGCACGTACACATATGAGCCTCATAGATTTTTTCAAGCCACCAAGGTCCAGGACTCAAACTGCACAGTGAGCCATGTGAGATCCAACCACCCTAACTGCCACGCCACTGGCTAGGCTCAAGTATTTTTAGTTTTTAAGGAACATTTTAAATTTATTAAAGCAGTTTAAGACCACAGAAAAATACAAAGAAAAGGGACCAAAATCTTACCAATTTGGGAAATTATATTTAATATTTTGGTATATGTCCTTACGTGTCATTCATACCAATCTATCTTATAAAATTCAAATTTACTGTATATGCAATTTTGTAATTTGCTTTTTTACTTTGAATAAACACTTGTAAATATTTTTTGCAAAGTGAAAAGGAAAAGCATTTTGGGGGTCCAGCAGGTGGTGTGGTGGTTAAGGCACTGAACAGTCCCACATGGCCAACCATGGTTCGAGTCCCAGACCTGGTAGCTTGCTTTCTCACTTTCCCTCTCCCTGTCCCTCTCTCTCTTTCTCTCTAGTCAAATGAAAAAATGAATGAATATTAAATAAATGATTCTTTAAAAAAAAAAAAAGAAGAAAAAGCATTTTGTGTGGTCAAAGAACCAAAGCCCTCCCAGGCTCACTCAAGTGCTAATATTCATAATTCTCCAGATTAACATAAATTAATCTAAAACCAGTTCATCATCTTTACAAGACATTCTGGGTTGGGCGACCATACACATCCCTGTGCAATCCAAAGTCAGTCCTAGTTTATGCCTGTTGTCTGGATTGTCCCAGTTTGGATAACCAACTGAAAGGTTACCACACTGCTAGAGCCTTCCTTTGGGAAATGAGACTCCACAGAGTAATACCCTGATCAGGTGATAGGGTTTCTTTCTGCTGCGTCTATGTTCTCTCGTGGGCTGAGTTTGTTGGGAGTAGAATTTGGGTCCCACCTACCTCTCTCCTTCTTCTCCCCTAGTGTGTGGCACATGATCTGCAAAGGGCACGCTCCTCGTACCTCTTACTGGATAAGGGGGTATAGTCAGTGAAGAAGTGACCTTACCTAGGTTGTTAAAAGCACCATATAGGCCCAGCTACAGTGGCACAAATGGGAAGGCAATGCTGTGTGATGGCTGAGGTCACGTGGGGACGCCCAGGTTTGCTTTCGAGCCCAACCTGAACAGGCCAGGTGAGGGGGTGTGTGCTTGTGGTCCTAGCTAGTGGGGAGGCTAGAGCAGGAAAGTCTTAATGTGCAAAGACCCTGTCAGAAATATCTTTCTCTTTCATTCCTGTTTTCATGCTCCTACAACCCCCTGCAAAAAAAACAAAACACCCACACACACCAAACAATTCCTAAACCATTCTTTTGCAAGGGTCCTTGAATGGAGTCTGCATTTCCCCTTCGCAATATTAAACATCCTATTTAAAGTCAGTCGTGCCTCTTCCTAATACTAATACATTTCACTGATTAACCTTCTACTCTATGCTTGGCATGATCACTTCACACAATCATCTTTCTAAGTTCCCATAACTACCTAGCATAGCAGGTATTATTCTCCCCATTTTATAGATGAAGGAACTGAAGCTCAGGGGATCACAGAGCTGAGTGGTTGAATGAGGCTTAGAACCCAGGTCTAATCTGAGTTCTCATCCTTCTTTCCATCATATGTGCTATCACATTCATTTTGCAAATAAGGAAATCAGGGCTCAAATAAAGAAACGGAGGCCAGATGTTCTGATCAGAGGCTTGGCTCTTACTCCTCTTCTTTTCCTGGTCAGGTGAAGGTACAAGCATACTCCCCAAGAAACTTGCTCATAATAATAATAAAACATGGTGGGATCAGGAGGTGGAGTGGTGGTTGAGGTGCCGGACTCTCACATGGTGCACCTCAGTTCAAGTACTGGACCTGGTGGCTTGCTTTCTCACTTTTTTTTTTCTCTCTCTCTGGAAAAATTAAAATAATAATAATGATGATAATAAATACAATTAAATAATTCTTTAGAATAATAAAATGTGGCTTGAGGCCAGTAGCTATATCTAGATAAGTTATTCTGGGTAAAAGCATCTCAAATGTTTAGCCAAATAAAGTTGGTGGAGTGACAGCTAGAAAACAGACTATACTCTCTGTAGCCCATGGAATCAATGATAAATCAGCTCTTCTATTCCAGGCAGGGACTTTCCAAACTGATGGCCCCTTATTCCCACCCCTGGAGTGTGATCCGAGTTTTCCTGGAGCAGGGGGAACAGGAAGTAAGAGGGCCACTGAGCAGTTAACACAAGTCCCAGGTGCATCGGCACCTGCACTTCTCCTATTAGAGACGACCTCTATCAGAGATTACTCACTCTTAGCCACAGTCTTACCAAACTGTGCTAGGTGAGCATGTTTCTAGCCCACTACAGGTAGGCTAACAGAAGGCTGGGGAGAATGGTTAGAATCAAGCAGATTGATTACAACCACACTCTGGTCAGGCAAGGAGGGAAAAGAACAGGACAATGAAAAGCTGACAAGGAATTCAGAGTACAGCACCTCAAACCCCCCACAGGCATCACTGAAATGCCACACAGGACGTAAACTGCTGAATATAATGATAGTTGGCTTAAGGAAGCAAGAAGAGTGTAATCTGTTTCACAAAGAAAACCCATCATTCATTCAACAAGCAGTATTCAATGAGAACAAATGCATGGTGGTAGCTTGGGGAGATATAATGAGTAAGACACCGTTTCTGGGCTAGCAAGTGGTGTGGTGGTTAAAGTTGCTGGATCCCACATGAGCGACTGCACGATTCAAGTCCTGGACCCTATGCACTGGACGCTGTAGTAAGGATTAAATGAGGCATTCTGAATTACAGGGTTTGATACAATGCCTGGCACACGGTATCGCTCAATAAATAAGCTCTTATCCTTGCTGTCTAGTTTGTGCTTCCAAAGTATATTCTCTGTGAAAACAGTTTTCATTTGGGGAATCCTGATGACATTTTCCCTCTCAGAAAGGCACAGAAAGCACAAGAATGTAGTTCCGGGTTAAGAAACATCATTTCATTTGGTGCCACTCAGCAGTTTCTTGCCTGACAGCTTCATTCACCTAACCCTCGGTAAAAGCCTGCGTACTGATATTCTACAGAACACTCTGGAACTGAACAAGCATAATCTGTAAAGCATTTTCATTTGCTTACTTATTTCAGAGTAACTTGGTGAGGGATAAGTTTACCCTTCCATTTTCTAGATAAGGACACTGAAATCCTGAAAGATGACAATTAGTTGGTGGTCTAGACCCAGGTCTGGTTCAATTGGGCCCATTTTGTGCACTTTTTTTTTTTAAACCTTTTTCCCAAAACTTAACTTTATTTATTTATTTAAATTTGACCAGAAAGGGACAGAGTGCGAGAGTGAGAGATAAAGTGAAAAAGCAAGCTACCAGGTCTGGGACTGGAACTGCAGTTGGCCATGTGGGAGTCCAGTGCTCTTAACAACCATGCCACCTGCCAACCCCCATTTTGTGCTCTTAGCATGAAGCTCTTTCCCCTTTTTACCCAGAGTTAGATGCTCTGTCCCAAATGAATGTGCTGAAGCCTCTGGCTCATTAGATCGTATGCTTTTCTAGTCACAAAAAGTGGTTGAAGGTAGAAAGGAGTTGGGGGTGGTGCAGTGGCCCTCCCATGCACAAACGCCTCCCTACACTTCAGTGAGGAAGAGTAAGCAAACCCCTGGAAGCTAAAGTGATTCATCCACAACTGTCGCACCAGCTGGCCACCAAGGTGGTCTTCCCCTGGCCCTATGTTTACAGCTGGTCCTCAGCCAGTGAACCGTCGCCTTCTCAACAAAGACATCTAACAGCCTCTCTCCTGCACAGGCTCAGGCTCCCGCTTCTCCCATCAGCCAGCAGTTCCTGTCCCTCAGGAGGTCCTACACAGGAAGAGTCCTGAAACACCACTAACATCCTTTTGCTCCCACCTCTGACTTCTGATGTTGAAAAGCCTGTCATGGCCAGAGTCAGTCTGGGAACTTATGGCAGGTATAGGCTAGATATAACTTCCCAGGACTCCTTGGCCTCGCCAGTAAGGAGTCAGCTAGGTAGAAAGTAATCCCTGAAGCTCCTCAGGAGGCCCTGGCTACTCCCTAGCACTGCTCACCACCCCACCCCACCCGCCATACCACCACCTCCCTCATGAGAAATACTGTAGTTATTTAAGGTGAAGAGTGATTTAAAGTGGGAACCAGCAGTTAGTGTAATGGCTATGTCGCTGGACTCCCACGTAGTTGACCACAGTTCATGTCCCGGACCCGGTGGCTTGAAACTCATGCTGGGCACGTGTGCGTGCGTGCCCAAGATCCTGGGTGGAGAATGGAGGAGAAGGGATTGTGGTGTGACCATCCCCTTGGTGGGGTG